ACTCCAGTCTGACTCAACACAGAGTCCCACCCCACTGAGCTCAGTGAAGTCACTCTGGAATCACTCCAGTCTGACTCAACACAGAGTCCCACCCCACTGAGCTCAGTGGAGTCACTCTGGATTCACTCTGGTTTGACCCAGAGCAGGGTCTGGCCCTGTTGAGCTCACTGGAGTCATTCCTGATTCACTCCAGATTCACCCAGACTAAAGTCTAGGCCCCCTTGAATTCAACACTCTCTCCAAAAACAGAACTTTGGTTTCATAGAATCATAGAATATCAGGGTTAGAAGGGACCTCAGGAGGTCATCTAGTCCAACCCCCTGCTCAAAGCAGGACCAATCCCAACTAAATCATCCCAGCCAGGGCTTTGTCAAGCCTAATCTTAAAAACCTCTAAGCTAGGAGATTCCACCACCTCCCTAGGTAACCATTCCAGTGCTTCACCACCCTCCTAGTGAAAAAGTTTTTCCTAATATCCAATCTAAACCTCCCTCACTGCAACTTGAGACCATTACTCCTTGTTCTGTCATCTGCTACCACTGAGAACAGTCTAGATCCATCCTCTTTGGAACCCCCTTTCAGGTAGTTGAAAGCAGCTATCAAATCCCCCTTCATTCTTCTCTTCTGCAGACTAAACAATCCCAGTTCCCTCAGCCTCTCCTCATAAGTCATGTGCTCCAGCCCCCTAATCATTTTTGTCTCCGTCCGCTGGACTCTTTCCAATTTTTCCACATCCTTCTTGGAGTGTGGGGCCCAAAATTGGACACAGTACTCCAGATGAGGCCTCACCAATGTTGAACAGAGGGGAATGATCACATCCCTCGATCTGCTGGCAATGCCCCTACTTATACAACCCAAAATGCCATTAGCCTTCTTGGCAACAAGGGCACACTGTCGACTCATACCCAGCTTCTCGTCCACTGTAACTCCTAGGTCCTTGTCTACAGAACTGCTGCCTAGCCCTAGTTGGTAGCAAATAATGAAAGGGTGGCTGTGAAACAGAGCATCAGTGATCATTCAAAGAAAGCCACAAGAACAATTCTAGGTTTTTAAAAGCTGTCTCACTGTGAGAGATTAAAGATGTTTGATTAATTTAACTAACTTTAGGGAAGGGTACCAGGTGAGGGTGACTTGATCATGGCCTATAAGTACCTACCAGTGTGGCCAACTCTCATGATTTTGTCATGAGTCTCATGATAATGATTGTTTTCCTTAAAGCTCCAGCTCCTAGAGTCAAGTGGATACGTGATGATTTCAGCATTCCTTCTTAAAGAAAAATGAAGTTTCTAGCCCTCGTGGTTGTGGAGAAAGCTTCAAAATGTGACCCCAGTGCACCCTAAAGACTCAAAAAGCAGAAGGCAATTAAAAGAACACCAATATTTATTATTTGTATATAATCTCATGATTTTAAAGCCAATCTCATGAGCCTGACTCATGATTTTTGAACATTTTGGATTGGCAATACGGTCTACCCGGGAGATTTCTGGTTCTTCAGTCTCACCCACAAAAGTTTAACAAGATCCAACAACTGGAAGAGAAATCTAGATAAACTGAGACAAGAAATAATGCTTGGGTTTCTAACAGGGAGTCATTAACCACAGAAACATCTCACGAGGAGGTGAGAGATGTCCCTTGAGAGATGGGACTCACTTGGAGTCTTTAAACCCAGACCGGGTGTCTCTTTCTAACAGATCTGCCCTAGCTCAGCCAGAAAGCATGTGCTGGATGCAGGCACCTCTGATTTGCTATACTGGAAGTCAGACTAGATGATCAGAATGGTCCCCTCTGGCCTTGAAATCTAGGAGCAATCATATTTTCCAAAACAAAACTCTGTCCCTGGGTTCCCTACAGCCTCTGCAATTATTAAAGCTAATGGGGCTTTTTAAAATCTTGGTGATCTCCCCCCCGACACACACACACCCGTCATTTCTGCCCTTTGATTTCTGTACAACACAAAAAGATAAGTCAGTTTAACCTGTTTCACTCCCTGATTCCCAGGGCACATCACTGCAATAAAAGACACAGAGCTGGCCCAGGTCAGCTGACTCGGCATGCAGGGCTATAAAATTGCTGTGTAACTGTAGACAGTGGGGCTTGGGCTGGGGTACGGGTTCCTCACTCTGAACGTTTACATTGCAATTTTACATCTGCAGTCCGAGATGCAAGCCTGAATCAGCTGACCTGGACTCAGGTCTTTTTATTGCAGTGTAGACGTACCGCCAGCATCCAGGCTCTTAGGGGATGGTTA